GTGTATTTCATGCACTAGATAGAATCTGAGCCGAGAGTGAAATCTCTGAGCATGTGCAGATCTGGACAGTCTTTTTCATCAAAATTCCCCCCCTATATCCACTTAGAGGCATTTCTGTGAATTGGGAGTCCCCACGGAGAGATAAGCCTAACTGAAGTCAGGGGCCACGTTACGGGGACCGACACATATACAAGCCCAGCTGACGGGGGGCCTTTGTGGCTTAATTGTGCAACTTGGCTCAACTCCCAGGCTAAACCCTGAAAAGAAAACAGCTCATGTGAAGAGAATGTGTTCTCCTCGGGCCAACAAAACATTTGCACAGATTGCGTTCTTGTTTTGGGGTGAAAGTGCTGGTCTTTTTTTATTATACCTAACCTAAAGCCATGGTGTTATATTACAGGACGCTGTTGCTTTCTGACTGTGGAAGCCTTGGTCCATTACAGGAGTCATTTTTCCCTGGCAGAGAGAGAGTCTCCACTATTCTGTGCTCCACCGGACTGCACATTAAGTACTCTTGCACTCACAAATATAAAGTTATTTATCCCTCATCACTTTAAAAAAAGAGAAGATGATGAGCTGAAGCAGTGGTAGTTCTTTGGGGTTCTATGTAACTCAAGAGAGGATGCCTGTCAGGGACAAAACAACAAAAACACTTTCCAATAAAGTTCCATTTGTTAATAGTAAACAACAAGACATTCTATTAACTATAAGTTACTTTGCAACTATATGTGTCAAGTAACACTCATTAATTTGAGAATTAATTTAGAAAAATATTGTTGTATTTTTAATTAACATTAACAAAGATTACTGCAAACCCCTAATAATTTATACCTGAAAAGTATGTTTCTTTTCCCCCTATACATTTCTAGATTGCAAACGCTTTTAATAAATCAAAATTCTTTTTTCTAATTTCTTTATTTTTTGGTGTTAATAAAAAAGAATACAGGTACACTTCTTACGCTTCCTCATTACTTCAGTGTGACTTGTCAGGCCATTAGCATCACAAAGTCATTTGTGCTGATTAGCTTTCATAAATTGTAGTTTTGAACTGCAATTTAAAAGTAAAAGCAAAAAGTGTTGATCAAATCACAAATCATGTACGTAGACAGCAGCTTAAGTAGGGTTCATGCATTTACAGTTTCAGAATCAGAAAATGTTATTTGTGGTGTAACATGCAGTTGTTGTTTTTGCTCTTTGTGGTTTAATTGCTAACAGGGTCATATTTGACTCCTAAAGGGTTCAAACTTGTGTTCGATTTTCTCTGTAGACGTATTCTATCTTTGAGAACTCTCACTCACTCCAGTCCAAAATTACAATTGTATAAATAAATATGATGACATATTTTGGAAATAAAGCATGCAGCTAATGTTTCATGTGGCCATTTTATTGTTGAAAGGCATACGTTGCAGTGCAAACAGTCTTTGGCAAAAATACAATACAAAATATAAGAATCAATTTGACCACTTGAGCATGTTCAGTCTTGCAGGGCAGTGCATGGCAGGTGGGCACAGTTTGGTTTGGGGGAAGATCTTCAAGAGGTTGTTAGATCATTTAGGTAGGAAGGAAGGAAGGTTGTTTGGGAGTAATAAAACACTGATATAGCCACACAACAGAGATAGAAGAGTTGAATGCAGTCACACATGGTAAAACAAGTAAAATAGCAGTCAAACACTTAGCTGCTCTCAACACAATAGCAGTCACTTTCCCAGTCACTAACCAGCAGCACGACTGCAAGCGTACAAGCAGACAGTGATTGTGATTGTCTGTAGTCTGTTAGTCTGATGGCGTTTCATCAGGATACAGTGGAATGTTTAGAGAGGAGCAGCAGTGCTGCTCAGGATATGGCTTCCATTACAGAGAGACTCGATGAGTCAGACTCCAAAAACAAAAACAAGAAAACAAAAGAAAACACATGCTACAGCTCCGACGTCTTACCAGTCCACTACACAAACAAACCCAGGTGTGTGACAGTGTTGGGGAAACTTCACATTCAGCAAAAGAAGTGTTGCAGAATTCCAAGGATTGAGAATCGAGGACCAGCTCATATTTAAATAATAATAATATATACACTACTGGTCAAAAGTTTGGAATAAGTAAATTTTTATGTTTTTAACGGGACAAGTCTCTTCCGCTCACCAAGGCTGCATTTATTTGGTCAAAATTACAGTAAAAATAGAAATATTGTGGCATATTATTACAATTAAAAAAAAAAAAATTCTATTTGAATATATTTAATTTTTTAAATTTATTTCTGTGATGCAAAGCTGAATTTTCAGCATCATTACTCCAGTCTTCAGTCACGTGATCCTTCAGAAATCATTCTAATATTATGTCATTATTACATTATTATTATTACTATTATTACATCATTATTATTATTACTTTTATTATTATTGATATTACTGTTGCCGTCATCACAAGGTATTATTGTTATCATCACCATATTTAGTAATATTATGATTATTATTATGCATGCTAGTACTACTTAAATACTACTACTATTATTCAGATTGTCATTGCTGTTTATTTTCATTGCTTTTATTATCAGTGCTGTTCTACTGCTATTTTTGTGTTTTGTGTTCACCGTATGTTGTATGTTTTGCACTCTTAATAAAAAAATGTAAAAAATCATTCTAATATGCTCCTCAAGAAATATTATCAATGATAAGAGTTGATATATAAATATATATACATGATACATTACCATTTAAAAGTTTGTAGTAAGTTTTAATCTTAATATTTGTATTAAACAAGGATGTCATAAATTGATAACAAATAACAAATAAATGTTGTTGTTTTGAAATTTCTATTCATCAAAGAATCTTGAAAGAAAATGCATCACCATTTCCACAAAAAATGAAGAAAAAATTGAAAACTGTTTTCAACCTCATTGTTAATAATATGAACCACTATTAATAATTAATCACAAATAATAATTGATAATAACTGAGCAGAGAATCAGCATATCAGAATGATTTCTGAAGGATCATGTGACACTGAAAACTCGAGTAAAGATGCTGAAAATTCAGCTTTCATCACAGGAATAAATGACATTTTAAAATATATTAAAATAGAAAACAATTATATTAAATTGTTAAAAAAGTAAATAAAAAAGTAAAACAATTATATTAAATTGTAAAAAAAAAGTAAATAAAAAAGTAAAACAATTATATTAAATTGTTAAAAAAAAGTAAATAAAAAAGTAAAACAATTATAGTAAATTGTAAAAAAAAAAGTAAATAAAAAAAATCGTAATTATTCCAAACTTTTGACCAGCAGAAACGTGTACATGCACTGAAAACTCGAGTAAAGATGCTGAAAATTCAGCTTTCATCACAGGAATAAATGACATTTTAAAATATATTAAAATAGAAAACAATTATATTAAATTGTTAAAAAAGTAAATAAAAAAGTAAAACAATTATATTAAATTGTTAAAAAAAAGTTAATAAAAAAGTAAAACAATTATATTAAATTGTAAAAAAAAAGTAAATAAAAAAAATCTTAATTATTCCAAACTTTTGACCAGCAGAAACGTGTACATGGTTTTCATTATGTTATCATTATGTGATTTCTGAAAAGCACTAAAACGTATCATTAATGGAATCAGAACATGAATGCATAAATTCTCATCTCAAATCTTGCTCTTCTGCTGGATAGAAGCGTCTGCTAAATGTACGGATATAACTGAACACTGGATGCTGAGAGAGAAGTGTGTGTTTCAAGTGATGTATTGTGATGAGGCACAACTGTTTACATCTCTCTGAACATTGTTTGAAAAGGAAGGAAACATCTGGACCTTCATTCATGACAAGAATATAAATACTGGGCCGGTAGAACAGAGCATTATAGAAAAGTACAGTAACACCCTTAAAAGAGAGCCTGACGTCAGCTCAGAGCTGCACTTCCCAAACGCTTCACCTCAGTCGCTCCCAAACCAAAAACATCTAGCTTTCTGTCAAGATAAAGCAAAGAACACCAGGTCTCAGAAAACCCGCAGTTGCCAAGGGAAACAAACATTTCGTGATCAGTAGAGTTTTTTTTCCCCATTGCAAAGATTGTTTTCAAGGTATTCACATTTTTCTCCACATGAGAGGAAGATAAAAAGCGGGAACTAATGTTCTACATATGTCCAGAATATGATACGATGCACCATAAACAAAGTAAAAGTATGAGTAACGTTTAAAATGTCTTTAGCGTAATTACAAAATGAAAGATTTTCGCTCAAGTGTGGTTTTAAAAAGCTCATAATGAGTGTATATACTGATGTATGATGCATTGCATATTGCAAAACAATTAAATGCATAAAACAACTCTTAAAGACTCGGGTAAATCACTTAAATGGAGTAAGATAGCACCAGTTCTGCAGCATCTCAAATCTGAGAATGCTTCTTCTGTAAAACAACCAGAAATGGGAAACTCTTGAGTTCAGCTCCACCCCCAATCAATCAAACAAACACATTTAGGCCTACATTTAAGATTTATGCATTTGAATTGCATATAGAATTTTCATCCGTTTGTATAACACAGTTTTAACGAAATCTAATAAACGGTGATGCACATTTGTCAGTCACACATTAATGAAACGAGTCACTCAAGAAATCATGGCATAGTTTCTTATTAACTCTTAGCATCTATTTGATTTGATCTAAATAATAATATTTTCAAAATGCATTAATTCATATAGCTCAGAATCAGCATACATCTGTTTTAACTGTGAAAACTAATGGTTAAAATATGACTAGCTCTGGAACAAGCAATCATCATTTAGTTTAAATGTACGCGATTGAAACAAATTAAATGTACTGATGGTAAATATATAAACCTGGTTATTGTGCATTTAAAACATTCCCTTTAGAAATCTTACCAGTTTCACTGATGCATAACTGACAAATATGCATTGCATTCTCTATTAGTTGATGTTAAAACTGTGTAATCCAACCGTATAGAAATTGAACATGCAATTCAAATACATAAATATACATAACATTTAAGCCCTAAAATGTTTTTTCGTCTTTTTTGAGCGCAACTGACTGTACAGTAATTTTCAAGGAATCCTGAAGACTTTGGTTTGGTGTGTTTGATTAGTGATAAGAGCTGAACTCTGCAGGAAAGTGTCCCTCCAGGACCGGAGCCGCCCATTCTCGGTCTCGTAAATGAACACTTTGGGTAGTCGTCTCCCGGTTAACATGCCTGAGGAGGAAAACAGGGCCCCACATTCATCCGTTTAGACACTTTTTAAGGCAGTGTATTTTTGGTTCTTTGCAGAGGGCATCTGAGGATATGCAAAAAAAATACATGACAAACAACAAAAAACCCTGAAACGCAACTATTGAACAAATGGAGGCATGAGCTCAAGGTCACATTGGTTAAGTGTCCTGAGGTTATACGTGGCGCTCGTTATCCTGCGGTTGTGATGGCTGGTTGAGGCACACGGGGCAGCACGAGCCTTTGGGAATCACTGGCTTCAGACATGCTGTCTGCGGACACTTTTCCACGAAACACGTCACCTGGGCCTCCTAACAGAGACAGAGACACAGGAACAACTGAGCTGAAAACGGGACGATATTTCTGCAGGAATCATCACAGGTATGTGCCTTTCCTGACCCGCCATCCTTCACTCTCTGCAAACCAGTAATATGTTAGTATTATAATTTTTATTAATATTTTGAATTAGTTTATATTTTTTGTTTTAAATTTGTTGCGCATTTGTCATTTTATTATTATTTATGCCATATATATATGGGTAGTTGACAAATATACCGTAAATGTGTCCTATGGTGTGACATATACATACATACATACATATTTTTTATATACATTTTATTTTATTTTATTTCTGTCTACATTTATCTCTAAATAACTATTTTATGGTTTTAATTTTAGTTTCAGTCAACGATAATAACCCTGCTGCAAACACTCTTAAGTGTTTTTATATAGACTTAAAAGAATAACAAAAGCTGCGTGTTTGTAAGAAACAAATCCAACATTAATATGATCATATGATGCGATTTCAAGTTTTCCTTTCTCTTTGGAGTGTTACAAGCTCTTGGTGCATAAAGAAGATCTGTAAAGTTGCAAAGACTAAAGTCTCAAATCCAAAGAGATATTCTTTATAAAAGAATACACCAAATAATGATCTTTAAAATAGCATCATATGACCCCTTTAAGATGTTTTTAACTTCAAACTATTGCTTCTGGCTAAAGCAGTGTTTCCCAACCTTTTTTTTTAGCCACGGCATAGTTTTGATCATGTTTTTTCATAGTGTTTTAATGATAGAATTTTTTCTTACAAACACAGATTTTGGTTTCTGTTTGGACTCTCATTCTGACGGCACCCATTCACTGCAGAGCATCCATTGGTGAGCAAGTGATGCAATGCTACATTTCTACAAATCTGATGAAGAAACAACCTCATCTACATCTTGAATGGCCTGAGGATTAGCACATTTTCAGCCATTTTTCATTTTTGGGTGAAGTATTCCTTTAAACTACATGTGATTGACTGCAGATTCTATCCCAGATTGAGTTAGAATGTTACCATGACATACCATGTGAGGGCATTTGTCCATTTTTGACAGCTAAAGTTCCCCCTAGGAATCAATCGGTCTACTGATCCATCAATCGACAATAATAAGTACATGAGCGTGCTAGAATGCCGTGCATTCATTTGCAATGAGATAAAGAAAACACAGATGTAACAGATATTTAGCATCCAAAATGAACACTCACTAAGTGCCAAATGTGAGTAGAATTTGCCGACAGTGGGTAAAAAAAATCCTTCTCAATGAAAGCCGTTTGGTAAATACTAGATAAACTATTCCAAATGATTTTCAACACAGCCCAGTGAAACCTGGCTGTGTAAAAGAGCTGAAAATCCATTGTTTTGCAACGGTCAGCCCTTCAAAAAAAAATGGATAAATTATATTAATAACCAGTCGCTTTAATTAAAAAAAAATGCATCAATAACAATGCTCAAGTCTTTTAAGGTGCACTCAAATGATAAAATACACTACATACTCCACTTTCTTGTAACCCTGCTTCTCAACTGGTGCTTTGATACAGTCAGAAAAAGCACTGCTACTGTACATACAAATTACAAAATATTTTGAATATTATCATGACATATATTTAATATATCATTGTGCATAATTTCAACAGCAAAATGAACATGCTTATAAACTTTTAAAATGAAAAAAAAAAAAAAGCTTCTCATATATTACATCAAAGACTGTGTATCACAGCTACAATTATATATTTTAATATTTAATTTTAAGGGCATTCTTATTTGCTTTTGTGCAATAAACAAAAAACAGTCGAGAACCACTGCTTTAGACAAGTCAAATGTTTCTGTGTCTACCTGAACACTGGTACATCATGTAAAACTACATTTCTGTGCATATGCTTGTGTTTCCGCTCCACCGTGTTCACAAGCCCATGAATGCAAGTAAGAATGCAGTACAGTCTATATGTGAACGCACCTGAAGATTTCAGCCAGAAAGGCTCAGCGCACTGATGAACTTACATGACACTGACAGGTGGTGCAGGGGTTCTTCTTCCAACTCTCTCCATCTCCTCGCTCTCTCCCGTCCTCATCTGCACAGTCTGTCCTGCTCAGACGGCCTTCAAGTCTTTTTATCTGTCAGTTCCAACAGAGAGAAAAAATGGTTTCATTTTAGGCTGATGATACACAGAGCAAATTTTGAGCAATTTTGCCGGGCAACTTTTTTTGAGGAATGCTGCTTGGGCACTTTCACATTGAGAATGGGTAACAAATTTCAATCTGGGTACTTGAGATCGGTCGTGGGCCCTGTGTTTCACCTGGTTGCCCGTTGAGGGCAACACTGCCCAAAGTTGCTCGGCAACATTGCTCAAAAAGTTGCCCTGTGCATCATCAGCCTAAGTCATTTGTGACCCTGGAGCATTTTTTTGCACCCTCAGATTCCAGATTTTCGGCCAAATATTGTCCAATCCTAACAAACCATACATCAATGGAAAGCTTATTTATTCAGCTTTCAGATGATGTATAAATCTCAATTTCGAAAAATTGACCCTTATGACCCTTAGGTCACATTTATTCTTTGCAGTATATTCTGTATAAATGCACCATACCATACTGATCCATATTATAATGTGTGGAAGTGAAACATGCTAAAATATGATTACTGATTCAGTACGTTGAACTAAAACATCTTGAGTCTATATCAAAAAAAGAATGGCAGTCATCAGGAAGTGTTTGGTTGCAGTTATGAAACGTAACGATGGTATAATCAGTTATTAATTGTGAATGAGCAGTTAGTTACCTTTTACAAACAGGTGATATATAATCTGTTATTTTGCAAGTAGGATGTGTTTCTAGATCAACATCTTTTGTTGGTCCTGGAGAGGGTTAAGGTTGACGACTGTGTTTAGACTATGTCTGTTTGACAGCAAAAAAGATGCTGATCCAGGAACAGGCCCTACTTGGCAAAATTACAGTTATCTGTTGAATAGTTTTTATTTTTTTTTAAAGAAATTATGTAAAAACAATAAACAGGTTCTGCTTATTCACTGAGGGTTGCTTTATCTGATATCGGATAGACTTGAAAACAGCCATTGGGAAGTGGACAAAGGAAAGATGGCAGCTATTTTTTTATGTCACTGTGGATTGCCATGTGTTATTAATCAAAAGAAGCGTCTGGAAAGTTAGATTTTTGACCTGTTGCACTGGACAGTAAAACAAACATTTTCAGCATCTCAGCATCACTGCCAAACGCTTGTGTCTGAGCAGATGTCAATCGTCCTTATGTACTGAGCTCACCAACAAAAGACAATTCATTCACAAATATCCGTGACTGAATTTTCAGAAGGGTTATATAAATAGATCAAGTATATAGTGCAGCATATGAGTTTTAATTACAAAAAACAAAACAAAAAAAACAATGTACATTTGATATCAAAGCACTATACTTTGTGTTTTATCACCTTGACATTACATTTCAGAAAACTGATTAACGCTGCTGAGAGAGTGACCAATGTAATCAATCTCTTTTTTCATCTTTTAGAAAGTCATAGAAATGCTATCACTATCTAATTTCCGTTCACCACTATAGAAGTTCACCCAACTTTGGCAACTTTTGCTTCTGAGAACCCCTGAAATGTGAAAAAGGTCCATTATAAGTAATGTTATGAGAATTTACAAACAATCTTTGGTGAAATCCAGAAATGAGCAGCAGACTGTAAATGAAGCTTGTGAGTTGCACCTGCTGTTGCCCGTGAGGTTGCTGGCAGGTTTCTCCTCCGCGTAGCTGTGCTCTGCTGACCTGCGGCCTCTGAAGTGGTACGACAGGGCGTTGAACTGACCTTTAGTACGGCAGTCTGCAGGTGCAAGAAATTCAGCCTTTATTTGATGCAGAAAAAAAAACAGCTGTACAAACACTAGACAGCTTGTACCATGGTCATTTACAGCATTGACAAATTAAACTTGTCAGCAATTAACGCAAAATTTGACTGGACGGACAAAAATAATGGTTCATTTTTGTTGGTTGTTTTATCTATAGGAAAATTAGATGTTGAATTTTGAAGTAAAATAATGCAGTAAGCTTACATTTATTTGAATGAATTAGAGAATTAGCATGTGTGAATTACCTGCGTCTGTGCAGCATCTTTCTACTAACACTGAAGATGCAAGTTTAATTGCTTCAAAAACAGCAATGTCACCACCTCGCTGCTGAGAAACAGCGTAGCTTATAATGTAGTGGTTTTGTGTGCTACAATGAAGGGAGCGCATTAATATCCACCTTATATATATGTTTATATACAAGCGAGTCTAGCTAAAATGATTAAAATAAGAGATTTTTAACAGAATAAATTAAAAGCAACACGAAACGTGTATTATAAGGTCCTGGCGGAAATACTGCAGTGGTTGGATGCTGAAAATTATAGTTTCCTTTGGGTTTTGGATGCCTTTGGGCTAAACATTTTTTGCTGGACCTGGCAACCTTGAGCTCCTATTGTTTAACAGCTAATTACAATAAATTACATGCACAATAAGGCACCATGTCAAAAAACTAAAAAACAAAAACAAACAAACAAACAAAGCAAAAAAATAAATAAATTGTGCGTTGTAGTACTATAACACAGGACCAATGTATGATAAACAGCTACACTGATGGCCCTGTAGTTAGCAGTGTGTCAGAGCAGAGGATATGACTGCAAGATAATAATCAAGGGCCTCTTTGAAGTTCCCGTAAAACGAATTCACTGCTAAACTCAGCAAGAGCAACCAGCTTCCATCTGATAGCACATACAAAAGTAAACAAAAGATGCTGTAACAAAAGTAACCAAAAGATCATCCTATTTGATGAAATCACTGTCATCCTCTCCAAAATCCAAAGCAAAAGCCTTTAAGATGGTCTATTTAAGAGATTTCTACTTAAAGCAATCAGGTATCCAAATTCAAATAAATGCTCCTATCCTAGATTTAAAATATATATATTCCCATTGGAGTGCCCCCTTTTTTTTTGTTATATTGTGGTATACATTTATGTATTTAGGTTGATTCAGTGATGTTAAATAATATTTTTGAGTTGAATAAAACCAGATAATTTAGATGCTACCATTTTTAGATCATTTTTTCAGTATATATCTATTCGCTGTGCTAATGGCTCCCTCTGCTGACTGTTCGTGTGAATTACAGGAATCAGTGTGTTAATGGGTTAAACTGGTTGCTCTGCTGGTAGATAACCATAACTACACTATCTGTGAGTCAAAAATAATCTTCCAATGACGGCCTTTTCCCAAAAGTATCTGTGTATTCTGAAGAAATAATTTAAACACCATTGCGCTAAACTAACATTTGGTCCAATAAAAAAGCCATTTTTAATTTATTGCTGCCTATCAGTATTCATAAAATATCAGTTTAAAAATGGTAATCATTGAATTGATGCCATTTAGCTACATGGCATAAGCTGTTTATGAATTTACACATTAAATAGTGTCATGTAATAATCGCCTGTATAATGCGGTTAATTATGGACAGCAGGTGGAGCTCCTGATAAAATATGAACGTCACATTAAGCATCTGAATAGGTTTAGGAGTCTCTAATCTGAAAAACCCAGATCAGGTAATTTATTCAAATAGTAATGTGCTGTATTTAGTAATGTGCTGAAGCTTATATGATGGCTGCAGTTTGTTCTTGATATTTGTGTTGTGGTCTAATTTCATATCCTGCTGTAGTGGTTTGTGAAGTTTCTGATAAATAAACATTATGAAACATTCTCTCTGTACTGATTATGTTTGTCGGTATATGACCATAATGGATTTACACATTTACACATAACGATTTTTAATGTAATAACTGCCAGAGAAGAACTAGTTTCTCCTTCCATGCCATCTACTAGCACGCACTGCAATTGAGTCTAAGGAGCACATGGACTTCTGACATGGCTACATTATTAATTTATGAATTCAAGTAGTTTGATATGTTTCATAAGTACTTTAACAGGCTGTGATGGCTACTCACTTTCTTCATTCACTTAAGATGCTCTTTTTGTTATACACAGGTTGTTTCTGTATTTGTTCTATACTTATAAGTGGATTTTATTTAATTTTGAATGAAATTGATGTATCTGATAAACCAACATACATTAATGTATGTAATGTATGTGTAAATGAAAATAGACTTGCTCTATTATACACTGCACAAAATTAAATTCAAGCCCATTTTGAATTCATTGATAATTTATGAACCAAAGTCTTCTTTGTTTACTGAACAGCAGTTAAAAAACGTAAGTGATTTCAGTATGAAATGGCTGGAGTCGACTAGTTAATGTCAGTAATGTATAGTATGTATGCATATTTATCTGTAAACATAATTTATTTTATTTTTTTGGTGTTTACACAGATGAAACAGAGATGATATCAGTGACGGAGGGAGATTCTGTCACTTTAAACACTGATATTACTGAACTACACAGAGATGATCTTGTAATGTGGACATTTAGGCTTCAGAATTCTGAGACTCGTTTAGCTGACATCTATTAACAGATCATCTCTATATATGATAATACAGAGCATAACGAGAGATTCAGAGGCAGACTACAGATAGACGAGCAGACAGGATCTCTGACCATCACAAACATCAACAAATTACACTCTGGACTTTATAAACTACAGATCATGAACGGAGGGGTCAAATACAAGAGCTTCAGTATTGCTGTCTATGGTGAGTAAACTGAGTAAATATTTTATTTATTTATTATTTCTTTATTTATTGCTGTGAATACAGAGTAGTGAAGGCAGACTTGTGTCAAGAATTGGCTTGATGAGAAATTTTTCATAATAAGAAATTTATATAATTTTGTATAACAAAAACTGGACATACAACTGTTATTTATTTTATCTATGAATATTAAGGATCTTTACACACATCTTTTTCAATAATGTAGCTCTTCTGTAGCTTTCTTAGCTCTTCTTCCTGTTCCTGTCATCAGCGATTCTCCTCAAAACCCTTCAGTATCAGAAAGATCATCAGGTCAGAATGTTCACTGCTGTGTTCAGTGTTGAATGTGAGTGATGTGACTCTCTCCTGGTTCAAAGGAAACAGTTTATTGTCCAGCATCAGTGTGTCTGATCTCAGCATCAGTCTCTCTCTACCTCTGGAGATTGAATGTCTGGATGATTCCTACAGCTGTGTTGTGGCTTATTCATTCACCAACCAGACTAAAAATCTCAACACCACTGATCGTTGTCAGACATGTTCAGGTACATCAGCATTGCAGTTTATTCACCAAACTATGTCTGTGCATGTTTATTTCTAAATGATTCATTAAAGAACTCACATTGTCACATATTTGTGTCTGTGCTGTATCTTAGCACATAAACTACACTGTACTGTTAAATTCAGTATTGTATTTTAATAACTGATAGAATATTTGATGTTTTAATAATTGACACATTTATTGTTACAAAATGTAGTTGCATCTTTTATAATATATGCCCCGTAAGATCTGCTGTTGTTTCATCTTGATTGAAGTCTGACGAGATTAATTAACAGTAATGACAAGACAATCAGTGTCTGTCAAACCGCTGATAATTGCTCCTGTAATTCTGCTGCTGCTAGTGATCTCAGCTTTAGCTACGAAGATGTTCTGTCGCAGCAGGAGCTGCAAAGAATCAGCACAAGAAAGCAAGTATTACCTCTTTTTATGACATTATAGTGCGCAAAAGTGCCAATAAAATCTCGTAACCTTCATTTCAGATGTTTTTTTTAATATATTATTTTATTTTTTGTAAATGTATTTTTACTAAACAGCTCAGACTACTGTGGAAGAGGTGGATTATACTGATGCAACATTTACTACAAACAGAGCTCAGGATACGGTAAGATATGTTTGTTATTCTCTGCACATTTATACAAATGAAGTTGCAGCATGAACCATTTAAAAACTAGGCTTTTTCTTATTGTATATATACTTTTTTTTTTTTTCTTTTCTTTTTTTTTTTACTTTTGAATGGTAGTGTATTACTGTTTCCACAAACAGTCATACACTAACACAAAACAGTTCTTTTAAATTGTAATAATGTTTCACAATATTACAGTTTTTACTTAATTTTTGATATAAAATAAAAGCAGCCTTGGTCGGCATAAGAGATCTTTGAAAAACATGAAAAAAAGTTACCAAAATTACCAAACTGACTGGTAATTATATATATATATATATATGATGTGAGTCATGGTAAACCGAGTCTCGTACCTTCACAGCAGTCCTGCCACATACGTAGGTCAATCTTAGGTACATCATCACAGCTTCCATAACTGTGAGGGAATTTAGCCACGCTAAAGACATCTGACTGGATTCGAGTGATGTTGTCGCTATTGTCACACAACACCCGGGCGAGAGACGTCTGCTTCAGCTGGGTCAACTGAGCAGGGCTAAAGGAGCCAGGGTTCTCATACCAAAACCTACAATTACATGAGTGAAGTTGCTGATTAATTATTTAACCGTGTCAGTTATGCACATCACCAAATAATAGTAATACCGCTTAACACGAGTATACTGTATGTACCATAGCAAATCTCAACTGCTTGATTGTATATATCGTTGAAGAATGTCAGCTATATTATTGCCCAATGATATATTAAAAGTTGGATATTTAGTACATCCTATTTTACCAGCATATATACTGTATACTCCCTCAGGGCAATATATACTATATGGCAAATCTCAACTGCTTAATTGATTATATCATCGCAAAATGTAAACTATATTATCAGCCATGCCCTAAAGTGAAAGTGACGTGACGTGTGGCCAAGTATGGTGTCCCATACTCGGAATTTGTGGTGTGCATTTATCCCATCGAAGTGCACGTACAGTAGTGAAACACACACACACACACACACACACACACACGTGAGTAGTGAACACACACACACACACACACACACACACACACACTGAACACACACAGCCAGCAGTGGGCAGCCATATTGTTGCGGCGCCCAGGGAGCAGTTGGGGGTTCGGTGCCTTGCTCAAGGGCACTTCAGTCGTGGTATTGAGGGTAGAAGAGAGCGCTGGTCATTCACTGGTCATTCACTTCCCCCACCTATAATTCCTGCTGGTACGGGTCTCTAACCATTAGGCCACGACTGCCCCCAAATATAATATGAGGCATGAATATATTAAGATATTATAATCATGAACATCATGATTTTTTTGTAAAGCTGCTTTGAAACAATAGGTCTTCTCACACTCAGAACATTTAAGCCTGGTTCACTCTAAACCCCAGGTAAACAGAATCCTAGGTTATCTTGCTTCACGTTTTACACTGCTCACAATTTATCCGGTTAACAATTAATCTTGTGTATTCATAAGCTGATGTTTCACACTGTACATTCCTAAACCCTTGGTTAATGTTCTTATGACTGGACAAAGGTAGAACTACGTGTTTATATAGCATTTACATTGCACATCCCTATTTTATATACAGTGTTGGGAAAGTTACTTTGGAAATGTAATAGGTTACAGATTACAAGTTACCCTATTTAAAATGTAATAAGTAGTGTATAAGTAGTAGTCTATTTCAATTACTTTATTAAAGTAATGTAACTGATTGCATTTGAATACTTTTTGATTACTTTTATAAATGAATAATGAATGTTTTCATCTGTTAATCATTTTCAAACATTTAAAGCAGGCAGGGTTAACCTAACAGTAGTACTCAACACTGATTACTGTCAGACTTTCATCACTTGAATTTTAAAGCACAGCCACCACAAAATCAGACTTTAGCACAGCTTTTTACTTTGAGATCATTCTGAGGTTAAATACAGATTTAAAATCATAATAAGAAATAGTTTAATAGCTATGATACTTTAAAATCAAATATTTGCATAGCTATGACAGGAGCCTACTTTTTTTTTTGCCTACTATTCACACTGTGTTTCCATGACTGACTAAAGCAGGCAAACATAAAGCACGCGATTCTTGGGTCTGTTGCTAAAAATCTAGCCAAGATTCGAACACAGTATTGTTTAACACGGTACCTGTTTGACACCACTACGTGCCACTGATATGATTTGGAGCAGGCTTTCATAATGTATATAAAGTGGTGCTAACCCTGCTTCTAAATTACAAGTATGAAACATGCCTTCAGTCGAGGTTAAAAATGGAGTTAAGAACGACAATAACCCAGGGTAAAGCACAGTGTGAAAAGCCCTAATGTGTATTATGAAAAGCACTGTACAAATAAGTTTTAAATTTGAAAAATCTGAAATTTCGGAGGAACACGGACAGGTCTTACCGGTCACCATCTCTGAGACGCTTGAACTGGGTTGCCAGTAAACACATGAGGGTCGGTCCCAGTCTGCTGCCAGGCACCAGCTCTTCAGCCATCAGCGCAGGAAACAGGTCAATATTCTGAGGTGTGCCATACAGCCTGGGAGCAGAACAGACCATTACACCCAGAAAATGCTGAATGTGTCTTTCAATGACATGGGATTTAGAACGAGAGATTTTGCGGCTAACCTTTGAAGCTTCTCTCGCACACTGGGATTCTGAATCTCATTCCTCAAGTCATCAAACGTCTGCGCGGACGTCAGGTTGCAGAACACCCGGTAGTCATTGTAGGGGGGTATACCGTGGTCACGCCCCCTTTGGATATTCATGGCAGCAAGGTCGAGTGCCACTGAATGCGCCATCGAGAAAAGCCGTTCAGTAAGTTCGGTGTTAAGCAGTTGAGTGGACACGCGCATTTTTCCTGCCACTCCAAACAAGCCACGGAGCAAAGGATCGATGCCTCCTTCGTTCACAATACGGAAGGGTGAGAAAAAAGCCTTATGCAGTGAGATGTGTCCTTGCTGGATGGGCTGAAAGTTTTCATCGAGCCGGTACAGAATGGGGTTAATGAGCGTATGGCCAAAGCGGAAGGCAGCAGTTGCAAAAGCGTTGAGGATGCCGGCATTAATATTGGGATTATAGCCATTATAGTCACCCAGTAGCCTCATGCCAGCCTCGCCCAGTATTTTGGGCAACCAATGGCTGTAGGTTATATGCTGCATTTGGGCTCCAACTATCTTCCGTGCCTCATGGTAAATGGTGTCGCCATCCCAATGGGGGTTGAGACGTAGCAACTCGCTGGCTATGCGGTTATGTTCACGGAACCAAACCGTGTGCATAGCCGTCAACCCAAGCTGCTCATTGGCACGATGGTCCCCAGCTAGGAAGCAAGGAATGGGGCTTTCGTTTTCGTCCCGCATGCATTCTGTTGGTGGGCCAGTTGCAAAGGGGAGCAATGGCTTGCCGGTGCGTTGCACAATACCCTGCTGCAACATGCCCCGATGGCTGGCCAAGTCACGGATCTCTTCTGCCTCGTGCTGTGAGCTGCCGTAAACATTGGAAGCATCGATGTAGGAGGTGAGCTGGTTCATCTGCTCGCGTGGATACACAGAGTTCATAAGCAGAGAGGTCATTCCACTGCCGCAAACGGGACTAGAGCGCACAAAGAACATGCAACTTGCTCCGTTGTGCCGCTGCCGTGGATCGTCGTGAGGGAACATGATGGGAAAGCAAGGTGGGTCGTTGGTGCACACCGAGGTGCACAACTGTCCATCGGAGAAACGAGACTGGCTGAGGGATACAACAGTTGAATCCAGGTCGTGGTCAAGGAACTGGCCCCACTGCATAAGCATGTGTGTGTAGCGATCGTCTGGGGTGATGGTCTCCGTTCCGATCATGGTGGTGGAGACCAGACGTGGAAGTGGCAGAGGGAAGCCACTGTGCCTTCGCTCAGAGGCACCACGTGGGAGATTGAAGCCATTGTCGTAGACGGGCTTTAGCAAGCGCTCGAAGGCAGTGAGCGAGCCTCCCCACATGGGGTGCTGCAGGTTGTTGCAAGTGCCATCATGGGTGCGATACTTCTGGTGGAAGCAGATATTCGAGCAATTGTTGAAGCGTCGATGGGCCGTGCAGCCAGACAGGTTAGCTATCATATCCAGAAAATGCGGTGACACCAAGTCATTGTAGCGGTAGGCTGTTAAGAAAGAGTGTGCATTTAGTAAAATCATTTTGATCTTGGTTAAAAAAACGGGTTGGGCTACTACTATTTTGTAAAGAGACAAATACAGTTGTAATGAAAGGCACTAAAGGAATAGTTCATCCAAAAATGAAAATTATGTCATCATTTACTCACCTTCATGTAAATCTAAACCCATCAGACTTTGGTTAATCTTTGAAACACAAATGAGGATTTATTTAAATGAAATCTGAGATCTCTATTGAAAGTTCAGGTAATCAAAACTTAGAAGATCTGAAAAATGAATTTACATGTATTGAGTGTTTTATAACCAGGTCTTGTGAAGAGGCATGATTATTTTAGGCTTTAATTTACATCTAAACAATGATCGACACACATGCATCAAACACACACGTGTGTGATGCGCAAGCTTCCATGTTTTCCATATGTGATTTGTTCTATGTATGTGTGCTTATATGTGAATAAAGGTCTAAATTAAATCTGTTGATCATATAAAGTTATTGCACACACTCATTTTGGATTAACTTGGACTGACACTGCTATATTAATTTGAATCATATTGAATCATTGCTTTAGTATTAAGTCTATTTTAGTATCAACCAATTTAGATAAACCTGCCATTAAATTAGCTGCAAAGTGGACCGGACCATATGACAATTAAAATGCTGGCTATGTTAGACTAGTTAGCAATAGATGCTGTGCTTGTTGACCCCTTCTTGGAACTTGTGTCAGTGAATGTGTCCAGAGGGTAAATGCTCAGATTGGGGTAGGGCTTGTCCAAACATGTGAGGCCATTTTGCCTTAGTGTGGCGATGAAAGCTGTGCTGTTGTCATAACCAGAAAAAACAGTGACCCATGTCTTCTGCAGCACAAAGCGTCACAGTGTCTGCTCATCATTTAGTAAAGCAGACACATTTCTATTGCCATATTAGGGGTGGGACAAAATAACGATATGGCAATAAATGGTTTTCCTTCTTCGTGCGATACGAGAATCGATACGCTGGTGCCAAATATCGATATTTTAATTAACAAAATAAGGCGCTCTAAATAGATTTCCCTGCTCCTAGCGTCACTACTTCATGGCTCCTCGAGGTGGCGCTCAACAAATCTGTTGATCATATAAAGTTATTGCACACACTCATTTTGGATTAACTTGGACTGACACTGCTATATTAATTTGAATCATATTGAATCATTGCTTTAGTATTAAGTCTATTTTAGTATCAACCAATTTAGATAAACCTGCCATTAAATTAGCTGCAAAGTGGACCGGACCATATGACAATTAAAATGCTGGCTATGTTAGACTAGTTAGCAATAGATGCTGTGCTTGTTGACCCCTTCTTGGAACTTGTGTCAGTGAATGTGTCCAGAGGGTAAATGCTCAGATTGGGGTAGGGCTTGTCCAAACATGTGAGGCCATTTTGCCTTAGTGTGGCGATGAAAGCTGTGCTGTTGTCATAACCAGAAAAAACAGTGACCCATGTCTTCTGCAGCACAAAGCGTCACAGTGTCTGCTCATCATTTAGTAAAGCAGACACATTTCTATTGCCATATTAGGGGTGGGACAAAATAACGATATGGCAATAAATGGTTTTCCTTCTTCGTGCGATACGAGAATCGATACGCTGGTGCCAAATATCGATATTTTAATTAACAAAATAAGGCGCTCTAAATAGATTTCCCTGCTCCTAGCGTCACTACTTCATGGCTCCTCGAGGTGGCGCTCAACACATGAATGAGGGAAACGTGAACATAAGTTAACTAGCCTAAGAAAATTAGGTTTTTAATGGGATGGTGGACAGCAGTGTGAGTAAAATAATAGATGCCCCAGCCACATTTATTTCCAAAGTCTGGACCCACCTCGGCTTGCATGGATGCATGCAGCTCTTAAAGTGACAGCAGACTAAAAGTACTGAACATGCTGCCGCTTGTCATTAAACGGATAGTTCACACAAAAATTCTGTCATTATTTACTTGCTCTCATGTTGTCCCAAACCTGTATTAATTTCTTTCTTGTGCTGAACGCAAAATAAGATATTTTGGGTAACCAAACAGTTGCTGCTCCCCATTAACTTTGATAGAAGGAAAAAAAAAATACTATGGGAGTCACTGGGGACCAGAAACTGTTAAGTTACCCACATTCTTCAAAATAATTTTTATGTTCCAAAGAAGAAAGAAACTCATTCAGGTTTAAAACAACTTGAGAGTGAGTAAATGATGACACAATTTTCATTTTTGTAGAATTTTCATCAGTTTGGACTTTAATGAAGAGAGAGAACCTGCACCTCTTCACATGCATTTTGTTTTCATAGTTAGACAGATATCGTGATGTATCATTAGTATGATACAATATTCAATTATCGCAGAATTGCTGTATCGTGATATTATCGGCCTTGTGAGCCATGTATCGTGTATCGTATCGTATCGTGAGGTACCCTGTGATTCCCACCCCTATGTCATATACTACTTTATTTCACAATAACAAAATCACAATAACAAATAATATGTCATTTGAAGAGCGGCATTATGGTGTGAGATACCTGTTCCATTGGTGTCCACCATGAGGCCCTGGTTGACATGCCTCTGGATGAGAAGTAGGGTCTGCTCAAAAATCTCTCCAGCTCTGGCCTGCTCCACTGTGTAGGGGTCCCGGGGGTAACGGAACAAAGCCAGAAGCTCGGCAGGGGTACGAGGAGATCTGATGATGGTGGAGAACACATTAACTTCCACATTCACAAAAGCCATTCAGACTCACTCTGGAAGAGAATACAAATTAGCAAACTATAGACCTGCATTTCGTCTAACAGATTAGTAGATCGATCTTGTAGCACAATCTCATAATTTCTTATTTATCAATTCAAACCTGTTTTTGAACTGTGGACAGTGCAAGACACCCCAGGTGAATAGGGTAAAAAATTAAATAGATATCACCATATTTCCCCAATTGACTGATTCCATTAGGAATTGGAAACATTTTTTGTATTTCAAATTTTCAGAAATGTTATTTAAATATGCAAAAGAGGCATTATCTAATTAAATATGCACTAATTTGCATGCATTTTCACCATGTTTTCAAGAATAAAACATTCTATAAAATCAGGTGAATGGTATATGAACAAACCCCTCTGTCAAAGCTTTCAGAATATAAATAGGAATAAAGATTTAAGGAAAGTTTTAAGTGGAGATTTCTGACATGAGAAACTCATTTTGAGAAAACGGCCAATTTAGGTATGTATTGTAATTGACATCTACAGACGCAAAAAGATAAAGTGCAATAAAACAAACATTTAAAAGTTTATTTTGGATGTTTTATTTCCCTTAGACTGAACACATTATGAAAAGCCAAATAGCCCAAATTCTCAGAATGGCAAGCGCATGAAAAAAAAAAAAAAATCTGCCAGTCTTGCTTCAAATCAACAAATTATAAATAAAGGAAAAAAAGCACAAACTAGAGAGATTGAATATTCTGCAGGATGCATCATGCTGAAATGGTGACAGATTATTAAAGCTAAATGGAAACTATGTCATAGTAAAAAGCCCATCTGAACCCCATTGAAGAGCATAAACGACCTGTCAAAGCACTTGACATGGCCACATATGCACATGACCTTCTTTCAAGCATTTAATAAAAGTGCTTCCATACCTTAGACAACTTGGATCATACACTTGTTTTCCCCGCTGAAGCTCACTCTGAAAACTGTTTTCAAACGTATGCGTTCAAGTGCAGTCACTGATGAAGGCTCTGTACCTAAAGTTATGCCCTTCTTAAGTAGTTTTTGCAGCCCTAATTGTCAAAAGAATTTATGATTTGAGAGTAAAATGTATTTCCTTTGTTCTCACTAAATATGCATAGCACATTAAACTGCCTAGAGTTATTTGAACAAAATATATTTGACCACAACCAACTTAAACCACAAACTGTAAAAGTTACATTCTAATAAGTGGCATCTTAAAAGCTGACTACAGTAAAAAGCCTATAGCCTAACAACCTGGCTTCAGTTATTTAATTTACATCAGAATAACTACAATCTCATTCAGTGTTTACTGGGGTTATTTGAGAGAACCATATAACAGAAAGAATAACCATTTTGCCAAAGTCAACTGTAAACATTTGCTCCAAGGCTGTTGGTGCCGATTCAGACAAAAGCTAAAGAACATCAAAGTCTTACAGCATTAATATCATTTTTATCATTCAAGGAGTTAGCTTCACTTCACATATTATCTCTTGTGAATTAAGGAAGTGCCAAGTTATAACAATATATCTGAGGTCATTTGTGCCAAAAACATTGGCAGGATTTTTCATAATTTTCACCCATGACCAGTTGTCTTGGACTGCATAAATTCAATAAGCATGCTTTAATGTCTTGGCAAGCTTAGTCAAAATGTCAACTTACATTGAGTCATGAGAAGAAAAAAAGGACATCAGTTTTGCAATTCCAAATCTAATCTTTGGCTATCTCTCTTTACCAGGATAACATCTCTCAGACTTCATTCAAAAGCATGTGCCTTTGAAACAATCCTCTCCAGCTATGAAACACAAACACTCTCAATGAGTTAACGTGAGCTGGCACTGGCCTCGACAGACAAAATAACCCCCAACATCAAGCTCAGAGCGCAGGGTCCCCTTGCAGTGATAAATTAGGAATCATACCGCAGTGACCAGCCCTTGTCCAAGGCATAAATGGTCCCAGTAAATTCCTGATGGGTTACGGCATTGTGACTCACAGCAGAAGGAATTGTTTACTTGGCATGTTTTGCCTGCAGCACCAAGCGCTCACCCATCAAAGAGCTGCCTCCTGGTGGAGTCTATTGCGCTGTTTATGCTCCGAATGGCCTCTTCAAGAGACGTCGAGACAAACGGATCACCCTCCCTGCTCACCTGCGGGACTGGAGAAAATTATACAAACATCAGTATAAATAAAAGCTTGTGAATTGGAGTTAGGTAGGGAATTTTAATCTGCACATGGGATTAAAAACTGAACAGAAGCTCCATTCATTAACTGGCACTTTAAATAACAGTGACTTATAATGTTAAGTCATGCGATTATTTAAAAATGTAACTGAATTAATTGCATGATATGCCAAATTATTTAATCAAATCAAACGAATCAAATATCAAATATTTGCTGAGAAAAGTCTACAAATCTAATACATTACATTATTTTCACAGATGAGTAAATAAACATTACAACAAGTGTAAGACCCTCGTAGCAGATTTAGACATGTGGAGCTGGGGGAGGTGGAGGGACCAATTGTGCAGGACTATCTTACAGTAAACAATGAGACAGATTATTCAAATCTCATTGGCTATAGATCCAGCAGAGACCAGGCAGCTTGTGCCATTTAGTACTGCTAGCAGATACAGGATTGTTTGACTTCATGCGGTGCTGTGTAGTCCGATCAGCATCCGACTTAAAGCAATGCATGGCAGGTAGAAATTTTGTCCAACTTGAGACAGCACCGAGCTTGGAGCTTGAATGGCAAACATAGCTGTTTCACAATTGGCAGGATTCTCAATTGAAGATAAGTTTTTACTGTTTTAAAAAAAGGCTTATGTTTACCCTATTCCTGTATATACAGGCGCGTACTGCGTAAGCAGTACAACGTATTGACTGAAAAGCGTTTCTGTTGCTACATGAAAACATTTGAAACGTCTGTGTATCTGACAAATATTTAATATTTATTTTTGTATTACAATATTTAAAATATTTATTTGTGATAAAGTATGCAAACACCGTGTAAGCATCACTATGGGAAGCAGAAAATGTCAAACTTCACGTCTCTGTTTTTAACTTTCCCATCTGCAAGTGGCAAATCTCGATGATCAATTAAATCCAGTTAAACACACCTTACATGGCAAGGATCTATCAGCTCGAGTCAGTCTACATTTTCATGAATAAACTGGTCATTTCAATGTGAAAAAAAAAAATGTGTCCAGACTCCTGTACTCATTTTGTTATGCTCCATCCAGTTGTTTTTGAACACAAAAAGCATTATTTCAGTTAGTGGTCGTCCAAAGTTTGTTTTTCAGTGGTCTTAAATTAAATTTGATCACCCTCCCACCTCAAAATCCTAAATATGTGGTTACAGCCTTCAATTCTTACCTTGCACTGTTAGCACCATACTAGATGAGGAATATCCAATGGAGTTGCGGGCTACACACTCATATCGTCCCCCATCGGCAAGCCCCACGTCATGCACTTCCAGATAGCCAACTGGATTGATATGAAACTTCCCACTCTCTGTAATCTGGACTCCATCCTGTAGATCAGGGCCAGAGATTGTTTAAATGAGTCTGGTCACAAGACCAGGATAGTCCCATGGGGACCAAAGTGGGGAATGTGGCAGCTAATGGATCTAACCTTGCCCCATGTGATGATAGGTGTGGGCTCACCCTTCGCACTGCACGGAATCTGGACATCTGATCCAGACTCCACAGTCGTATCCCTTGGAGCGCTTGTGAAAACAGGCGTTACTGGTGATGTAAAACCGTATGTTAATGATTACAGCGCACAAAACCGCAGCTGCTGATGAGTCATGCACATAATGCACAACATGAAAAGAACATGCACAGGTCATACATGGTGTTGAGATGTTGCCGACTTTCGAGGTTCTGTAATTCAAGTCAATGAAAGGGTAAGAGGTTAAGTCTGAGAAGCATATGCGAGTCTTCAAGGCCAAAATGGATTGGTTTGTTTAAAGAGCTTTATCTAAACATTTTAACCCCCCCAAAGCTACGAGTTGGTTCACACGATCCTCTGAGGAGACCTCTGAGGTCCTTAAAGGGATAGTTCAGTTTGCTGTTAATTTACTCACCCTCAAGCCATCCAAAATGTAGGTGACTTTTGAGTGAACTATCCCTTTAAGTGCATAATTACCCCTTTACAGTTGTTCTCTAGTAATCTATAAGAATTTCTGCTAAGAATCAGCTCAGTCATTTCGTCACTAGTCACTCACTGCAAAAAAAATATTTCCGTAGAGATACAAAATGGCTTAAAGGGGTCATATGATACAATTTCATTTTTTCCTTTCTCTTAAACAATAATGTACAGTATGTGGAAAATAATGTGTTTTTTTAACTTTAAACCGCATAAACACATTTCATTACACCAAATACACAAAATAATGTACTTTTTAGCAGCATCATATGACCCCTTTAATATTTTAAGTCTTGTTTTGTGAAAAATATATCAAAATTAAGCGAGTTCTTCCTTAAAATAAAATAATAATCTACCAATGGGGTAAGAAAAATAAACTTACTTTAAAGGGAAAACAAGATTCTTTTTCTTATCTTAATGGAAGATATTATTCTTGCTAAGCATATTTTATGTAATTTTGCTTTTCAAGTATAGTTCTGCTCACAAGTTCACATACCTCTTGCAGAATATGCAAAATGTTAATCATTTTAACAAAATTGCATGCTATTTTTTATTTAGTACTTTCCTGAATTAGCTATTTCTCATCACAGATGTTCACATATACTGCACAAGACAAACAAACTGGATTTATAGAAATGACCCCGTTCAAATGTTTATATACCCTTGAATCTTAAATCTGTGTTGTTATCTGAATGATCCATGACTGTTTTTATGTTTTGTGATAGTTGTTCCTGAGTCCTTTTTTTTTCTTTTCTGAGCAGTTCAACTGCCGGCTGTTCTTCAGAAAAATTCCAAGTCCTGCACATTCTTTGGTTTTCCAGCATCTTCTACATATTTGACCCCTTTCCAACAGTGATTGTAGGATTTTGAGATCTATCTTCTCACACTGAGTCTATTCAGGACAGTACTAAATTAAAATAGCATGCAATTTTTACAATCCCTCTTATTTTGTTAAAATTATTAACATTTTGCATATTCGGCAAGATGCATGTGAACTTATGAGCAATAAACGCTGTTAATGTTATTTTTATTTTTTTTTACTGGAAAACAAGACAAAAATACAGAGTAAGATTTTTTGTTGTTGTTTCTGTGTAATTGCATAATTTTTGGGTGAACTATTCCTTCCATGAACTCCTAAACTTTCATTTAGTCTGTCTTTCTGCAGCTGTTATAACAAGCAGTATTTCTCACAACTCTCTCTGTCTCTTTACTCTCTCCATTTCTTCAGATACTTCCTGTAAACCTGTTCTAAATAAAAGCGACCATGAGCCAAACCTGTGCCTGGGTTTTGAAGTAAATACAGGCGGTTGTTATGCAGTGTGTTAACAACCATTACTACATGGAAACATCTTGCCATGTGGGAATTTCAAAGCTGCATGCTTTCCTGGCTACTCAACAAGTCTGTAATAAAGCTTAAGAGGTGGTTTTTAAGGCACTTACATGCAGGGACCTGGTCTTACATCTGTCATTGAGACTTTACCGGGTATTGTTGTTCTAATTGAAGGCTTTGCTGGTGGGTAAATGACAAATTAGTTTATGAAGCCAGCCCTCCTTTCCTCCTGTTAATACCATGTCTAGTCTTGTTCCGACAGACCGTTGAATGAGGAATAGACTTACGGTGTGTGGTGTTAGGGGTTTCTTTTGTGCTATACTGAAGTAGATACATTTGTGGGCAGCACTGATAGCCATGCACTAAGAAACATGGAGTAACGCAAAAATACATGAGAATGCTGTGTCCTAAACACGTCAAGATGAGGCAAACGTTAAATGGAGTTCACTTGTTTACATTTGATGAGTAATGTAGCAACTCAAGCATTAATATATAGAAAATGTGATTTGCGAATGTCAGAAATTAGAACTTATTAGTTTTACTCTTTTGAGTCTTTTTCAGGATTACTATTGTTAACTAAAACCATAAAATAAAATTGAAATAAAATAAAAGTTAACTGAAATTGAACTTTTAAAAAAAAGTAAAAAAAAAATAAAATTGTTTAGTGTAAGTGCTAAAATAACTAAAATTAAATAAACTAAAAATAATAAATACAATTTAATAAATACTACATAGGCATATTTATAAAAAATAAAATAAAGAAAATGAAAAAAAAAAACAACAAAATGACTTTCATCAAGTCCATCAAGTATTATTCAGTTTGGCATTAGCACAGCATTTCTGCTGAATTTACAGCACACGACTATATTTTTTTACTTTAATTTTAGTAAAAGTTTTGGAAAGTGTGATGTGGCCCTGGTCATGAAGGGCCACGCGGCTGATGCGCAAGCTTCCCGATGAGAGAACAACGTGCCGTCTGTCATTAGGCAGAGGGCTGCCTATGGTAGGAGAACAGAGTTTTAGTGACTTTGTCCACGCTGAAAACAGTTGATAAATACTGACAGACAACAATTCAATCATCTTTAAATGTGTCCTTTTTAAGGAATGTTCAGAAGAAATTAAATGCTGTTGATTCTGACTCATCTCTCAGTTTACAACAATCATGTTTACAGTACATACAACTGTGTAGGCAGTGCTAGAATGCATCCAATCAGAATTTCATAATCAGACCCTTGTTTATTGTACTGAATGTACACTTGTAAGGTACTTCAAATCTTAAAAGGATATTTTTAAAAACTGTACTTGCAGATAATAATATTAATGAAATAAAATGCAACTTATGTGTACTTTCTTGACATATATGTACAAACATGGACGGAAAATGTCAGTTGGTCAGTTTTTTTTACTCCACTCTAGCAAGTCAAACAGACAAGGCGGCATTATGTCATCTCACCGCCGCGAGTCCATGCTATGACAGGCTGAGGGTAGCCGCTGGCCTCGCAGCGAAAGTCAACTGTAAGACCCTCCAGCACAGACTGGTCCTGAGGGGTCACTGTGAACTGAGGACGAGCTGAGGAAGAAGAAAAGAAACATGAACAGAACTACTCTTTCATATCAAACAGGTATAAGCTTTGGACCAACTCAAAAAAATAAAAAAGTTACAATGCATTAGTTTTTCTCAAATTATATTTAAGGTTCTCTTAAATTTAAGGTAATCGTA